AGGGAACTGTTGAAATACATCACCTAAAGCTAAGCTTTTACGCACCATGCCAATTCTTGGCTCAAGCACGCAGCTCATCGCGACAAAAAGGAGCGCTAGCAGTTGCAGCTTAGCGGAATTTGACTGTATTTTAGTGGTTGAGCCTGAAAATACAGGTTATCAGCCGTAACCTCTGCCATGGCTACAGACGATGGTGTGAATGCCGCGCTCGCCCTCATCCCATACGCCGGCGATGCTACACAGGCCGCCGGGGGCAACCTCGTGCCCGAAGACGTTGTCATGGGATCTGAAGGCGTCACAGCATATTTCCAGTTCATTCAGAACAATGTTCACCAGATTGCCTCAGGGAATGAGGAAGCCGTTCGCTTCGAAGCAGAGCAAAGGCATCGAGAGATCATGCAATCCACGATTCAAGCCTTAGTCTCGCAATGTAGGATTGCAATCGATCAGGCAAGGGAAGTCTGCAACAAGCAGATTCTGGCCATGCAAGGTCGAATCAACTTACTAGAAGGACAGTTGGCTGAAAGTCAGGCCAAGGTCGCTAGTGCAGATAGTCTACATCAAAAGAGAATGTCGGAGCAGAAGGCAGAAGCAGAGAAACTTCACATACAGAAGATGAACGATAAGATGAGGGAGCTGGAATCTATGTTCGAGAAAATGGTAGAGGATGCATCTAACAAAGCTAGAGCACTCCTTGAAGAAGAACGTAGGCAACACCAAAGTATGGAGACCGAGTGGACTGAGCAGAAAGAACGTCTTGAACAGGAATTGCAAAAGGCATCAGAGACCAATGCACTACTGCAAGGCCAACTCGACGGATTGATCCCTGGGCATGAAGCTGAAGCGCCGCAACACCTGCCTGGTACAGCAACGCCAGTGCTGTCTGAACCAGCAGGCCGCGAGGCTTTGCCCCAGCCGATAGAGATCGATTGGAAGGCAAGGCTAGACGCGAAGTTTGCCCAGAAACTTGGTGATTTCTATCCATCGAGAGCGACTGCGACAGCACCACTCCCTGCAGCGTCGGAGCCTGCCCAAGGCAAGGACGAACAATTCGTCGATGCTCGTGAAACGGCCGACGAACGTATGTCTCACGTTGGCGACGGAGGAGTCGATGGCAAAGTCCCGGCTTCTTCAGGTGATGCCACCGCGCTGATGAGTGGTCTCGCGGAACTACTCAGAGAAATGAAGTCCAAGAAAGACGATGAAGGCAAGCCAAGGGTCAAAGAAGCCGATGCGATTGCTATACCGGACATGCCCACGCCTGAGACTTACCGTCAGTGGAAGAATCTGGTCCGTGAGCTCGTTCGATCGTCGTCCGACAAGCCCGATGAAGCATGGGAGTGGATAATGGAGGTTTGGGATCCAAAACCCTCACGCGCTGAACTCGAGGCAAAGCTCCAAAACCCAGGAAAGTTCGTGACCTTGGACACGAAGCTCACCGCTGCTCTCACCAAGTCAGTCCCCGGCGACCTGGGAAATAGAATCCTTAACCATAAGGAAGAGCAAGCGAAGAAAGGAAATCAAACCAGGGGTCGAACAGTACTTCTCATGTTTGATGACTACTTCAAAACGTCTGAGGAAGCAGGTACTCTCTACTCACTAGAAGACCTTTTAAAGGTAGCGAAGTTTGGAGATACAATTGCTGACCTCAAGAAATTCATCAATCGCTGGGATGCTGTGTTGGCCGGTATGAAGAAGGAGCCCGAAGAAACAGTCCTTCGTGATGTTTTGCTCCGTCAGATCCGTCCCAGCACGCTACTCAAGTATGACATTGACACCTATGATCGGGCAAAGGAAGGTGATCCAAGTAAAACGTATTCGTTCCTTGTGAAAGCCATCCGAGACCTGATCGATCGCGAAAGGCTTAGGGAGAATCGAGATCGAATCGTCGACAAGAATCAGCCAAAGCCGAACAATCCCAAGGACAGGGCAGGATTGCCCGTTGTGCCCCCAGCCAAGAGGGAGAAGACACCCCCAAGGGGAAGAACTCCTGACAAAAAGAAGATTCCATGCAGGGACTTCGCAAAAGGGAAGTGCGCAAAGGGAAAGGACTGCCTATATCGCCACGACAAGAAGGATAGGTCACCTTCGAGGCAAAGAACGCCTCGTGCACCTAGTCGTGACCCGAAGAAAAAGATCAACAAAGAGGAGATGGCAAAGACCCCATGCATTTACTTTGCACGTGGGGATTGCCGCCGTGGGGACAAGTGTCTGTACCTGCATGAAAGGAAGAGTGCAGCTGCTCCAAAGGACCCAGCTCGGCCGAATTCTCCGAAACCCAAGAAGGAGGCAAAGCCGAAAAAGTCGGCTACTCCCTGTGTTCGATCAAGCTATGCATGCAGCGCCACTCGCCGCAAGCTCGGTTCGCATCGAAGCCCAACAAAAGAAAGGGCAACACAGAATGAGAAACATGTCACCTTCGATAAAAGGGTAGCAGTAAAGAAGATAAATGCTCATGGTCGATGCAACCCAGTTATCCATCGTCCCAGGGAGTACGACAACGTCCTCACTACTGCCGAAGCAGCAAAGAAGATGGATCCAATCCATGTGTTGAATGCCAAACAGCAGCCAGAAAACTGCAAGAGACGGTAAAGCAGTTCGGGAACTCGGTTCAACCATCATGTGGTTTCAATTGTGTTGATGACCTTGAAAGTCTGACTTGCAAGTGTTGTAGAAATCTGCTAGCACCATGCAAGATCAATACTGTGTTGATGCCACCAGTCCTCGCTACGCCTGCGCCAAAAGGTCGCCATCAATGGCTCATCGACTCTGGAAGTGAGCAGGACCTGATCAGTGAGTCCATGTTGTCCCAAGTCGGAGCTTACAATAGGCGGAGCACAAACCAACCGATCAGCTTTATCACCGCAAACGGTTCAACACAGTCCAATGCGGTCGCTGAAATCGATCTCAACACATTGCCAGGGTCCATCACTCCATACATATTAGAGCAAACACCGTCGGTCCTTTCGGTTGGCACAAGATGCATGGACCAGGGGTACAGCTTTGTTTGGCCGGCAGGGTCGTCACCGTTCCTCGTTCGACCAGACGGGAAAGCAGTCGTCCTGAAAGTTGACGGTCATGTTCCCATTTTGGATGATTCATGTCCTGTCGTCAGCACAAAGTCCTTCAAGCCAGCCAAGGTTCGCAAGCTTTTAGCTTTGCCCGGTGTTTCGAAGCCCATCAGGGATGAAGAAGAAGGGATTGACGAAGGAGTGAACCCAGACGACGAAGAAGTGGTAGCGGTGAGGAGCCGAAAGTCAGCCGACCTCATCGTCGAAGCCCAGTCGTCGAAGCACCAATTTCTTCACTTCCCCAAGAACCCATTTTGCCGCACGTGCCAAAGAGCACGCATGCTTGCACCTTATGCCAGGTCCAAAGGCGGACAAGCGAGGGTTGACACAACTCGGTTCGGAGACCATATCATTGCCGATCACGTGCTCATCAAAGCAAACGTAGAAGAAGGCATAAAAGGTGAGAAGGTCGCGTTAGTCATCAAAGACATTCACACGCAGTTCCGGTATGTGTACCCAAGCCAATCTCGATTTGCCGAAGATTGCACCTTTGCCATCAACCACTTCGTCAATGGAAAGGATGAGGTTGAAGTGATCTACACGGACAATAGTCGGGAATTGAAGGCCGCCATCAAGGAACTTGGCTATAGGCATCAAACGTCAATAGAGTACGTGGACTCCAGCAAGTCGTTCGTGGAACGCGAAATACGACAAATGCTGGAAGGGGCTCGGTCCAACCTTGTGCAAGCAGGGATGCCTTTGTGCATGCGGCCGATGGCGATGCAGCATTTTGCCATAGCCGTCAATGCTAACCCGCAGTTGTCAGGGGGGGACAGCCCATGGTCGTTGAGGTTTGGTACGGAGTTCGACGGGATGTGCATTCCTTTCGGTGCCAAAGTGTTATTCTGGAACAACCCTGATAGGGCAGACAACACTGCAGGCAAGCTTTCACCAACCTCAAATGAAGGAGTATTTCTAGGGTATCACATTCAGCCAGGTTTTGTGTGGAGAGGGGAGTATCTCGTCACGAAGCTTGAAGCCATTGACTATCATTTGGAGCATGGCAGCGTTGTCATTCAACGCACCAAGCGATTGGAGTTGCCCTCTGAAACCCATGTGTTTCCGCTGAAAGCAAAAGCTGACAGCCTTGAGCCACCTCCAGAACCAATTGCTGATCGTGTGATCCCTCCTGTACCTGATCCGATCATTCCACAACAATCCGATTTGGAGTATACACCATCTATCGCACCTGACCCTGTAGTGGAATCTGCCCAGGAGAAGGAGCTGCCAGTTGACGTCGAGATGAAGAAGTCCAGTGCTGAGCCTCGCGAACCTGGGGAGACTATGCCCGACGGGTCGATCGTGCCGGATGGTTACCACTATGACGGAGTAAGGCTTGTAAAGACCTACAAAGGTTCGAAGCGGCCACGAAGCATCCCTTCGGAACTCTGGAAAATGATGGGTCCGAGACAAAGGGAGAAAGCAATTCGTGAGGAAGAACAAAAGAAAGGCGAAGGAGTCACCAGTTCCTCATCAAAAGCCGCATCGATGCTCCGGTCATTTGGTAGCCAATGGGAGGTGCTCCCAGCAAGAAAGAAGGTATTGATGGATGAGTCGTTCGCAGTTCCCTGCATGCCCACCCTAAGTCTGCTAAAGTAGTAATTTTACTAAATCCTTGAAATTACTAAAACTGAAAAAATTACTATATAAAATTACTAAATAATGCATTTTTAGTAATTTTGTGAGAACTCAAAAATGCATCAAAAGTGCATCAAAAGTGCGTCAAAAGTGCATCATAAAAGCTTCAAAACTGTGCATCACAGCAGCCACAAGGAATGTACTACACAAGTAAAAGAAACATGCCCAAGTAGGCCAGGAATGTGTGTGTGAACCTTGAAAAAATCAATCGCCGCCTGTGGATGGTGGGGGAACTCTCACAAGTGGAAAGCACAAGTTGCACTGAAAGCACCAAGCTCACCATGTTTTTCTTCAGAGACTGAGAAGGTAGCTTTCTTTGAATGCAGCCTTCTTGCTGACCTGCCAGTGTTTGCTGCCTTGCAAGCAGGACTTCCACAATGTCTGGGCTCGATGCATTGTGTCCTCGCCTTTGAAACACCAGACCATTGCTGGGTGCAAGAACCTGGAAACCTCCAAACTGTGGAGTGCAAAGTGGGTCTTGGAAGTCAAATTCCAAAGGGCCCTCTCTTGGTCTTCAAAATGAACTTTCAACTGTGCATGGATCTGGGCCATTTTGAGGCCTAAAGAAAACGCACTTTCAGCCTGCTGAGGAGGAAGGGCAACAAATCCATAGGTGGGGCTGAACTCATCAAGAATTTCTTGTAGCTGCGCGTTCATTTTCACAAAGACATGAACTTGCTTGTGTTGTAGATCCTGGGGGTCCATGAAGGATTCCCAAAGGTGCAACATAGCTTGTGAAAGACCAAGTATATCTGCTGCTCGACCTCGCAGCTTTGGGAAGCCAGTTTCCTTCACAACCATGCTCGACTTCTGCAACCTAGGGCGAAACCTGTACTTTGTTTCATGTACTGATTGGAAGTGATGCACCCAAGTATCAACCTGCTTCAGGTTGGCCACTGGCTCACCAGGCAGCACATCCAAGTAGTGTCCCAAAACCCTTTGAAGGTCTTGGACAGTCACCAGTGGGTCAGCCACCAGCCGCACTCTTTGTGCCCTCTCTGCTCTCTCCAAAGCAGCCACCCTTTGCCTCTCAACCAAAGCAGCAGCCAAAGAAGCCATGCTGCAGCACACACCTATGTCTATCCTTGCTTAGGCCTCCAAACTAGCAACACACAGCTGTCAAAGAACATTCACACAAGTAGCATGGCAAGTCTCAGGCAAGCAGCAAGAACTCAAGTAAAATGCCAAGACTCAGGTAATGCAACACAACCTCACAAGTATAACTTGCCAAATCTCAGGCAAGCAACAAAAACTCACAGGTAGTATGCCAAGACTCAGGCACAATGCAACACAACCTCACAAGTACTATAACTTGCCAAGCATCAGGCAAGGAACAGAAACTCACAGGTAAAATGCCAAGACTAAGGTATAATGCAACACTGCTTTACAAAATGTCCCACACTGTGCCAAGTAGAACCCTGCGCCAAACATACAATTTTGACACTAGTTTTTGGTCAAAGAAAGAAGGACACTTCTCATGTGTTGCATAAAAACTATACCTTTTAGAAATTACTATATATAGTAAATCAAATTACTATATATAGTAAATCAAATTACTATATATAGTAATTTTTTACTATATGAAATCACTATTTTTAAAAAAGTAATTTTTGTATAGTAATTTTAAAAATTATAGTAATTTCTTGTCTTAGTAAAATTACTACTTCAGCAGACTTAGGGCAGAACCAGGGGGGCCGTCAATGAAGCCCACCGACAGCCTATTCGGCAAATGCTTGAACAACATATCAAGCGCCTCGAATTCAAGCAGGATATCGAGATGTGGGCAGCAGTGGCAAGGCTCGTTTCCAAAGAAGAAGTTGCAAGAACACCAAAAGCAAAAGAAGCACTTGATCTCGAATGGAACAAGCTTAGAACGAAAGGTGTATGGGATGAGAAGCTCGTCCGTGAACTTCACAAGATTGTTCAGGAGGCCCGAAGAAAGGGAGAGAAGGTTCATCTAGGTAGGATATTCGAGGCCTGCTATGAAAAAGGTTCAGAATTACCAGAGAACGATCCCAGAAGAAAATTCAAAGGGAGAACAGTATTCCAGGGCAACAATGTGAGGGACGAGAACTCAGACCACGCACTATTCGCTGAGCTCGGCTCAAGCCCCGCCTCAATGGAGGCTGCCAAGGTTTTGGATGCCTTCGGTTGTCAACCAGGGTATGGGAAAGAGCAAGCAGATGCAATTCAAGCGTATGTCCAAGCAACCTTCAACGGAATTCCAACATGGCTGGAACTACCTCGCAACAGGTGGCCAAAGGATTGGGAAGAGAAATATTGGACACCCATGGTCCCAATGGTTTTAGCATTGTACGGACACCCTGACAGCGGGGGTATTTGGGAACAACATCTAAACGCCAATCTGGCCAAAAAGGGATGGCGTCAAATTTTGCCTGAAATGTGGCAATCAATCTTCAGGCATGATGAGTTGGATCTCATCCTGGTGGTCTACGTCGATGATTTCAAGATGGCAGGACCCAAGAAGAACTTGGCTAAGGGCTGGGCCGGTATTCGCTCGGTTGTTGATCTGGGCGAACCAGAGCCCTATGACAGGTACTTCGGGTGCATGCACGTTGAAAAGAACGGTATCAAACTTCCCGTCGGTGCTCATCCATTCGCACATGTATTTGATCCGCAACGCGCAAGCGCATGCTCTGCACAGATCCATCGAAAGAATGACTATTGGGAGCATGACCCAAACCATCAAACATGGACGCGCCATCACCTGCAACCACAAGGAAGAAGCTCTTCTTCCCTGGCGATGAGGGGGGGCCAGTTTAACGGTTCAATCAAGTCTAAAAGGACAACAGTGTTCAATGCAGCCGTGATCATTAATGACGGTTCACAAAGCGCAACGAACACTCGTTTGCCCAAAGAACGAATCGACACCTATGATAACGACTGGACCCTCAAGAACCCAAACATGAAAACCGATATCTTTTGGACCGGCAAAACCATTTTTCATTATGGTGACAATAAGCCTAGCGCTGCTGCACCATCGAAGAATCGGCCAGGTCCACACCGATCGAAGCGGGAAGCAAAGAAGGAGGCAAAGGAGCAGCGCTTCAAGCCGATCGAGAGTGTCGTGCCGAAGCCTGCTGGTTGCATGACCAAGCCCGTGAATCTTGTGAGGTATGATATGTCATCTTTCCTCGAATCATGTGTTGAAGCTTATTGCAAACTAGCTCAAGTTAAGCCAGAGACACTCAAGAAAAGCTATACGCCATTCACAGAGCTCGGTATTCCGAAACCAACGCTCTCTGAGAAAGAGGAGCCCGGAAGACTGCAGCCCATTGCCAGTAAGATTCTAATGAAGATTCTCTTTGCAGCCCGTATGGCCAGGTTCGATTTACTCCGTGCCACTCAATCACTCGCTTCGAGGGTAACGAAATGGTCAATCGAGTGTGATGTAGGACTACACCGACTGGTATCCTACATTCATCATACCAAGAATCAATACTTGGAGGGCTTTGTAGGTGATTCATTCGAAGAATGCCAGCTTTGGCTATTCGCAGACGCCGACTTCGCGGGGGAACATGATTCCAAGTCAACGACAGGAGTGACCATGATCCTCGTGGGCCCTAGCACATACTACCCGCTCAATGCATATAGCAAGAAACAAACTGTGACATCAATGAGTTCCACGGAGGCTGAAGTAGTAGCTGCCAACCACGGTGTTCGTGCCGAGGGAATCCCAACCCTAGCACTGTTCGAGCAACTCACGCTGTTCAAACAGGCACCGGATGCAGCAGCTCGCCTCGCAGCGATGCCCAAACAGGAAGGCATCTTCACTATTATCGATCCAGAGATCGATGCCATGCGAAATGGAAACGTGGACTCAGGGCTGAAGGCAGGTCATATCAATGGTATGGTTGCATACTTTCCCGAATTTTGCAGAGTCAAGTTCATGGAGGACAACCAAGCTACCATTACGATTTTGTCTACTGGCCATTCACAGTCAATGCGTCACGCCAATCGAACGCAATGTGTTTCGTTTAGATGGCTAAAGCAACAATTTGAGTGTGGTCAGTTTGAATTAGTGAATGTAAAGACAGATTTTCAAGTCGCCGACATCCTGACGAAACCCTTCACGAGTCCTGCAAAATGGGAGCATGCGCTGAGGCTCATTGGAATCGGACCTTCATTGGTGCAATCCACTGATCGAAGCGAGGCGCGAGCCTCCGCCCCAGCAAACGTGTTATGTGAAGGCATTGATCAGGGGGGCGATAGCTCGAAATACCCACATCGCCTATTGGTAGAATTCTGCTGTTCGTCAACGTCCAAGCTAGGTGAACAACGAAAGCCAGCAAAGAACTGCAAGGTAATTCGCGTCACCGAGCAAGAAGATGGAACTTCAGAAAGCTGCCGACGATGGCTTGCCCAAGAGATTGAAGCGTTCAAGAAGGTCCACCCAAACGGAATGGTATTCTTTTACGCATCGCTCCCATGTACGGGAGGCAGTCCCTGGACGAATGTGAACAAAGATTTGCCAAACGGTAGTGAACGAATTGCAGAGCAGCAGCAACTCTTTGGTAAGCTATTCAAAAGCTTCAAGCGCTGCATTGCAGATGCCAGCCCGCACAAGCCAAGTGTAACCTTCGAACTTTCAAAGAACTGCAAGTACTGGTCGTGGCCCAGCGTGCAGAAGTTTATCAGCGATTACAAGCTACGACAGCATGCATTCCATGGATGCCAGTTCGGTCTCAAAGGATTGAGCGGTAAACCCCTAAAGAAAGGATGGAAGATAGCTACTGACGTACCACAGCTTGCAACGCTTGATAACTACATATGCAGTGGAAGCCATGTACATGAACAGTCAAGAGGTAAATCCTTAAAGCTTGCAGAGGGGTACACATTTGAGCTGACTGACATGTTGCACGGTGCATTTTGTTCGCGCGCCGTAGAGCTTACACGGCCCAAGCCCATTCGTGCAGTCGCTTGCTATCCAGCACCTACCATGGCCCAGCCGGAACGTCACTATTCCGAGCACCAGCTGGAGATTCTTCGTGGGTGGGATACGCTATTTCAGCGGCTGCTGACGAGCTCCATCTTTGCTGATGTCGGGCAAGACCAAGGAGCCCAGGAAATGGCTCTTGGTTTGGCTCACGACCACACGGCGCAATCCGTTGTCGACACGTGGCGTGAGAGCTATGAGTGTGTTCAACACATTCTGAACCCATTCATTGAGGCCAAGCGAAGCAGCCTAGCCTATCATCGCCCGCCGTCAGCAGTGACAGGCCCAGTGTACCAAGTGCTGATCAGCGACAGTACACTGGCCATGGTGTCAGGCAGAAAGAAGACCCGCCAACGCCATGATTTGGAGCGAGCTTTTCATGACAATCGATGCCGGCATGTGCTACAATTTCACCACGAAATGCATTGGGGTGCTGAGCTGCGGACGCTCATCAAACGCGCGATCATTTGCGCAAGAGCCATCCGCAAGGATGTGCCCGATGCCCGAATCTATGTGAACGTGGTGTGGGCCGGCAACGAGCTCGTGGGTGAGAACGGGATCGTGTCTACAAACAGATATCCCTACACGGAGGCAAAGGGCGACCCAATCAAAATCGAAGCCGACACCAAGAGGCACTTGACTTGGTACGTCGAGCAGGGTCGAAAAGCTGGATGCAATGTCCTAGCCGTGTCGTGTATCCCAAATGCAAGCATCTACGAGCTGCATAGCATTTACACGCACTTCGGCAGGGACATCAAGCGCTGGTTTAGAGAGACCTTTGCGGAACCGGACGTCGTGATCATCGATCTGGATCCGCTTTTGTGGCAGATGGAGTTGAAGGATCAGTTTCACATGACGTTTTGTGACAAAAATCAGTCACGTGTCCTAAGTTGGTTTAATGCCAACTTTTACATCCTCCATCTATCAGCCATTCTCTCGCCCCACCTCCATGGGATGAATGAGGCCAATCAGCGGAACGGGAAGAGAGACCTACGCGTGCTAGACGCGAGTCTAAGCCCGTTCACGCCAGCCAGTGAGGAGTACAGACAAGCTGTCATTGATGTGATCCACCGAAGGGAGGAAAATAGGAAGCGCATTGAAG